TTCAAGGTTTAAATAAAGTGTTTTTTTTTATTTAAAACAGGGTTGCATCGGGTTTAGAGTTTATTTCTTTTGCGATGCAAAATAAGAAACACTAGGCTAATATTATTCTTGCGACATTTTAAATTTGTATTGCCAAATAAATGACATTAAACAATTAAAACAGTAGGCCTACAAAACGAAAATTGTCCAAAGCAACATAATTAAATTAAAACATGCGTTTTTCTTTGCCTCTCTCGCGCTGAATCTCTTTTTAACAAGTTTATTTAGTCTCCCTCGCTCTCCATATGAAAGAGGAACATTAACACCTAGGCCTATTGTCCTGCGCGCACAGCACTGAACTGTCCCCCAACCCCCCACAGGCTATCGGAGTCTGAGGCTGATTTAACACAAAGAGAAGTCGTAATTCACACTTAAATCGCTATTCTAGACAGTGTTGATAATGAAGGAATTAAATGATTTAAGTTACATGTAGCCTAGTGAATTTTCTGTCATAAAAGTTTATTACTAAATATTTCATTATTTCAATAATTGATGAAATAAAACTGGTTTGGGCCAGCTTTTTCCAAGCAAAACTAAATATAATCTGAAAAAACGCATGTTCATTTGTTGTCATTTCGACAAATACATTATTTGATCTGTTTTTACATTTTAATTCAGGGCGATTTAGCCTGCTACATTTCATTAGAGCGAGATTTTCACCCTTGTCATTTTCTCATTGGGAAGCGCTTACATAGGCTACATGTTTGAGTAGATCCTCTGTACCTCTCGTTTTCATATGGATTACATAATCAGATAACATTTATTAGCCTGAATATTTAGACATTTAAAGGCATTAGACAGAGCCGATTTCTTATAGTGACTGAGCTGAAGTGGCTTTCGGTTCATTTTTGTGACGCGCAGTTCCCGGAGACAGAGACGACAGATAAACTTTTGTCGTTAGCAAAAGTTCGAATAAAACCCGATTTTAGAAAAATGCATAGGGCCACTCGGCGTGGTCTGCCAAAACACTTAATTATAAACTTCAATATTTCATTCAAAATAATCTCAAAACGCTTTGTGAAATTTTGAAAAGCCGTGCATGCATTAAGGCCACTTGAACTATGGACAACTGAAACGCTGGTTTTGATTTTATTGTTTATCGTTGTTTAAACGTGCTTGTTCTGTTGCATATCTCTATTTTATATTTGATATGGTCTATTGGTGAAGTAGCCTATAGCATTGATTACTGTGGAGGGAGGGGTGTGGGGATTCAAATAATTCAGCAGAAGCAGGGATGTTTAGACCAGAAGGAAATCCCCGTCCCCCTGACAAATCACACTTTACTTAAAACCATGTTTTTAAAAACTCTAGGTTGTAGGGAATCAAAAAAATAATAATAATAGGCCTAATAAAATATATATATATATATATATTGGCTATATATATATAATTACTTTTTTTACAGAACTGCTTTTGAAATTACGATTGGCCTCATACGATTGGTAGCCTACAGATGCAAAGTCGTTCTGTTGGATACTATTGTTCCTTAGTGTAAAATGGAAATGCATGGTAATTTTATTTTATAAATATAAGCAAAAAACTGTATGGTGTACCAGAGTTTTAGAGCTACACAAATCTCTCTGCATTAATAAATATAAAATTTACAATAGACCATGTTTGTTCGGGATTTGAACCCGTGTCATCTTGATGATCGAACCGTAAGTTCTACCACTCGGCTATGAATTTTCTCACTGAGAAATGCCCAAACGTTTGTTTGTCATGAGCGAGAAAACGTTTTGTCGTTAGCCTGTGAGTGTAGGCCTACTTTAGCCTACATGAATAAAAGTAGACCTTTTACAGTTTTAAAAGATGATATCTTATCTGTATGACCAACAATTACGCAGTAAGTTCTTTTAGCTGTTATGAGAAAAATAAATTCAAATGAACGCGCCGCCGCGTTTGTCAAACTCTAATTTAACATGCCAGAATAAAGCCAGATTTTAGAATAATGCATAGCCACTCGGCGTGGTGTGCCAAAATACCCTAATTATAAACTTCAATATTTCATTCAAAACCATCTCAAAACGCTTTGTGACATTTTAAAAAGCCGTGAATGTATTAAGGCCACTGGAACCCGGATCGTAACTGCAACGCGCTGCATGTCTCAATACAGGAGCAGAAGCGCTGGTTCAGATTGTATTGTTTGTTGTTTAAACGTGCATGTTGCATATTTAAAAATATTTGTTTAAAAATAAATGTTTGTTGTAGGCTTATTTGCAAATTACCATAACTTGTAGAATTTCATCCTTACTGTTAATTGACATTAGCCCCACTTACGTTTTGATAAATGTCCCTTTGCGCCACCTGGCGGTCATTTCGCGAACGACTTTGAAATGCGACTGGTTTATTTTTATTGTATTGGTCTACTTTAAAAAATAATACTTTATAAGACATTTATGGAAAAAGACTATTTTCTTTTCAAGATTCTGTAGAATGGCCCATATAGCATTTGACTAGAATTTGTTTCCAGGTATGACTAAAAATGTGCTTTTGGCTTTCATTTATATTTTGATTGTTTGTATATATATATATATATATATGTATGTATGTGTGTGTGTGTGTGTGTATATATATATATATATATATATATATATTTAGGCTATATATATACAAGAAAGAATGCAATGACAATATATATATATATATATATATATATATTGTCCTTGCATTATTTCTTGTGTGACACCCCTGAATGAAAGGCTCATTATTATGTAGGGTCACTGTCTGAGAACCACTTAATATTCATGATAGGGGTTGGGCCGTTCCGCCCATCTGCATATTGCCTTGGCAAACAAAAAAATGTTTTTCACAATTTAAAACAATCTATTGGTTTATGTGAATGATTAGGAAGGATGATTTTCAGATCATTTTGAAGCCAGAACTCGAAGCGTCAACATCCATTTGTCAAAAGTCTTGTGGACACATATTTAGTATTTGTTTTGTGGTCTTATTTCAGCAGCTTTCATTTTAATTTTTTTCAATAACCACGCATAAACAATATTCTCTTAAAAATACAAACAATGTACATACAAGTTGCTCACAGATTATGGTAGCCCTGTTTGTGCTATATAGAGTGAATTTACACCTTTGCCATTAACATGTTTATAAATAACTGAAAAAAGCACAAATGTAAGGGCATCACAGAACATCCAAATGGCCCCAAAAACACCTCAGACCCCAGAGGGTTAATATTAAGATAAAGTATTACTTTAATTTAGCAGGTATTTTTTTTGTATTATTTAAAAGGTTATGTTAGATTTATTTAGTCTGATTGTGAATTGGTTTGGGTAGTTACTGGGGGTAGGTCTTGATAAGCCTAGGGCTTCTACCTATCCCTTTTCGAACAGGTTGATTATTATGCAAAAAATAAATAAAAATAATAATAATTTTTGTTGTTTTTGTGTTTAATTATTTGTATGGATACTTCATACGTATTGCTGTCTATTTATTTATTTTATTATTATTTTTATGAATTGTTCGAAATAAAGATTTCATTCATTCATTCATTCCTTTTACTCCAGTCAAACTAGCTTTGTCGTTTTTGGCGGTGTTTATAGGTTTTTTCGAGTCCTCCGTTAAGTTCACAGCAATGACACTCCTTACTGGCGAAAACACCCCGTTAAACACTCACTGTGTGGTGGAGGTGTGTAAGCAATGATATCTGCTCTGTTAATTGTTGGTGCTTAGTTTTGATTTGTGTTGATGTCAGGCACAGAGGGCCTTCCCACCCCGATGGCCATCAAACTTTATTGTATGTGTGTGTGTGTGCGTGTGTGTGTGCATATAGCTGCTCTGATTTAAAATCCCAAGGAGCTGCAAAAAACGCCCAGATGTCTTCCTGAACTAAAGTCCGTGTGTGTGTGTTATAAGTGTGTGTGTGTTATAAGAGGATGAGAACCGATAAAACAGAAAAAGGGACAAGAGTATCAGTAGGTCAGCTTGTTCTGGTTGCACGTGTTTGTGTGAACAACTGGCTGATCTTATCCGTTATGGGTGTATCAAGACCCTTATTATCAATGGAGCAGTAATGTTTTGTTCTTTAGTGAGATCAAACATACATGTTTGTATGTTGTTTGGTTTAAAATGGTTCATCCCAGTGATGTAATTCTGAAACTTCATCTGTGTAAGTTATGCATTATCATCTGGCAGAAGGAAATGGGAAATGAGAGTAACTGGCATTCTCCTAATCAACTTTCAAGTTGGCACAACAGTTAATTTCACATTCAAAATGCACTAAATCTACCAAAACACTTCATACATGTTTCAGATTAACTCATTCTTCCATAACACTAGCAATGGTTGTTAACCAACAAACACACTTTGTTACTCATAAAACAACAGCCTAAAAACAGGTAGAATTATATAATGTATTTTTTGTAAACATTTCTTTTCAAAACAAGCATGTCTCTACTGCTTATAATAAGAAGTAGAGAGTATTATAAGTTACTATTTATATTATATACTGAATTGCCGATTATTACAAAATAAAATGAATGAAATATCGGAAGTTTAGGATCTTAGTCTTTTGATTATTGATTTGTACTTTAGGTAGCCGTTGATGAAACACTGTTTTGTTACATTTATGTATTTTACATAAACCATAATATTGTACGTATAACATAATAAGAGACATTTTTAAATTTAGTTTAAGAGAGGATTGGTGTAATCCACCAAATATTTTTTAGATGAAGTACTAGGGGAAGGAGAACGCCAATGATAGAGAAACAATTCTATTTAATTTTATTAATGCTAGTTCAACATCTGTGCCTTTTACAACATTTATCTTACTGAGTGTGTCTGTGTCTGTGTGTGTTTGTCTTTTTCTATACCGGTGGGCACTTCAACTTGAATTCACACAGACTTATTGACTCAAAACTGTTTTTTTGAAAATGTAAAAATGCAGAAAGTTTGTACACTGTCAAAACCATTACATCTATGGAGATTCCCCACAAAGATTGTAAACCCGAAGTGTGTGTGTGAGTGAGTGTGTCTAGGTTTGTCTATACGGTCAAATAGTTGTATACATTGCATCTATGAGAGCTCTTCACTAATTTAGCCTTTAAAGTCTGTGTATGTGTGTGTTTGTGAGCTTCACTCTGTAGCATACAGCAGAAATCCACTGAATGTGTTGTAATGATTCTGATCATCACAGAGCCAGCAGCCAGTGTGGAGACTGATGGTAATACGGTCGCCGACTCTTAGCTGCGCGAGTAAGACCGCTGTGGCCTGGTCCTCCTGGTCTTGATCATACATCTCCCTAAGTGCTGCTAGAGCCACACCATTCCTCCTGATACTGGTACAAACGGACAGCAATGCGCCTGGTGAGCCTGCGTCGCTGAACACGGTAAATGCCAGGTTATACACGCCTGACCGTGGAACCGTGAACACACCAGTGGATGAGTTGTAGGCCTCTCCAATGTTGATAAAGATGCTCTGATAGACCACATTTATTGCCGTCCTTGCCGGACCAATACAGCGTCTCCTGTCGGTTAGACCCACAGAAAACGCCACTCGATTCTCTAAAGATGAACAAGGAACATGTATGAAACATGTATGTAAAAATATAACACAAAATAAATAAGACCAACAGATTAGGTGCAGTTATTTCTAGTCTAGTCAGATTTCTGTTTTATTTTGACTGTTCATTTTGTGCATCAAATAAGTTGTCTATTATATAAAACATCCGCTCTGTACATTTTAAAATGTTTATTTACAAAACTAAAGGTCTGTTGAGCTTGAGATGATGTATGTGCTCAAAGATAGCAGCGTTTGTGTGTACCTCTTATGTTTCTCAGTGTGTTTTGTGCTCTGGCCAGCGAATCCTCCAGTGAATTCATACTAGAGTTTAAATATTCTTCTAACTGCCATTTTTTCCTCTGCATCACACAACAACCACATGAGTCCTGGTCAGTCAGACACGCTAGGTAGAGAGGAATAAAGATATTAGTCGCAAAAGTTATATGTCTATCTTTTATGTTGCTGTTCATTTACATATTGTTACAGTATTATTACGATTTTCAAGGAGATTTGCAATGATTCTTACGGTTGATGGGGTCTGGAGCAAGGGTTTGTCCTGGCACGTCCCAGGTGTAGGTCTTTTGCTGGCCGAACACCAGCGGCAACACAAAGAACAGCACAACGCCTTTTCCTGATCAAATTGTTCACAAAGGGTAATCACATTCTGTCATAACTATGATTACATTACACATTTTGTCTGTTTAGTTCAAGCTCATGAAATTTGAACCATGAGATCAAATGTATACAAATCTTTCACTTATAACTCAGCCCACATGAAATCTACATCTGCAGACTTCCCCTTAAGCATAATTTAATAATTATTTCGGCTACCATGAAGAGTGCAGCAACTTCAGCTATATTGAAAACATTTTTTTACGAAAATCGATTCCGTAGAATTCCATAGATTTGTTTCGTACAAAATCTAAAAAAGTCTGCAGATTCTAGCACAATATAAACAAATTAATGTAACAGATGCTTCTGCCTCTTAAATATTAGATAAGCTTATTAGTCTTTAAAAGCTGTATAAATAATTCTTGACAAAAACTTCTTGATATTTATATTGTTTAAAATAAATAACAAATACATTTCTGAAGTATCTATGAGTTTCCAATAGACTTGTAATAAATACAATTAAAAACAAATAACAATATAAAATGTTACTATAATAAATGATATATTATTCAAAACTATATTATAAGACACACAAGCAACATCTGAATGTTTTTTTTTTCCCTGAATGTTTAACAGGTGCATATTGCCAAGTTTGTTAGGCACTTACTCTCTGAATAATTATTCAGAATTGAAACAGTGATTTATTTTCTCACCTTTCATGTCTGATGGCTGTTTCTGTTTCTGCCCTTTGAGTCTCAGTGGGAGCAAATGAAAATCAGAGTCTGTGTGATGTTCAACTTTATATCCTGACAGCACCTCCTCCTCCTTCTGTATTCAGGCAGGGAGATTCAGGTGTATGTGTGTGTTTTTAAAGAGGAGCTTTACATCGGCAATATGAATTAAAAAAAAAGCTACAACAAGGGAGATATCAGTTCATGTAACTGTGACTTGCCTCAGATACACTGAAATACAAAACCCCACCGAGTTTTAAACTATAACACCACACAATACAACACAATGACACGCATCAAAGCCATGAAATATGATGAAAGCTGCTATCTTTTCTAAGCAATCAAACATGCACTTTCCCAGGAAGGATCTCTGTTTTGTAATGATTGAAGCCCCAGAACAGCTATTCAAAGAAACGCACCACACCTCTGTCTACAACACAAGACAGTCATAAATGATGCAAAACATCACAATAATGTGTGTTGTAATTTAAGTAAAATATTCCCACATGGCGTTTCTTTATTTGCGTCGACTCAGTTTAGTGTTTACAGTCTGATAGAGATCTCAGTGCAACAAAGCGAAAACACACAATAAAGCTCATTTATCCAGCACACATACAGTATTAACACCAGCAGAGAAAAAGAAGCACTTAATGGGATAGTTTAACCAAAAATCAAGACTTTCTGGTTACAATTTTAAGGTGTCCTTAATTGTTGCAGTGTATATGTATAATATTTAAGTACTGAGTAATCTTACAACAACGTACTATAGGCTTAGGGTTATTAGTGTTGGGTTTAGGGTTAGTTGTAATTATGCATAATTGTGTTACTGACTTTCTTTCTACTGTGATTCACAAAAGAAGATATTTTGGAGAATTTTGGTAACCAATCAGAATGGTTACCATTGGCTTCCATTGTTGGGACAAACAAAAACTGACACTTTTTAAAATCTTTTAAACTATTTTAAATCTTTTATGTTCCACAGAAGAAAGTCATACAGGTTTAGAACTGCATGAGAATGAGTACATGATGACACAATTAACCCTTTAACTGTTGTTATTTAGTTTTATTTATTCTTAAAATGAAATGATATGTTAACTTATGAAAGCCAAGTGGGTTAGAGACAGTACTTTTTACCACATGAAAAAGTTTTAGCCAGGGTTTATTTTTGCAGGCAAGTCACAACACAGCTGCGGAAATAAAACCAGGAAGACATCAGACATACACATTATGTCATGCATAAAGCATTTTTCTCTTTTCATCCTTCCTCTCTCAATCGTCCCCTTTTACTTTGCTGTCATAGGTGCCTTGGCCTTTGTATGTCGAGACGTATCCACTGGTGTCAGGGATGTCTTCCCTCCCAACACGGCCTTTTCCTTTTCCAGACGGATCAAAACGCTCCTTATGAGAACCAGTGAACTTACTGCTGTCTGTTAGCCTGTCCACAGCAGAGGCTTTTGCCACTTTCTACAGAGAGAAACAGATTATCCATGGTTATTGTACATGGTTATTGCTTAATCTATGAAAACAGACTGATTTGATTGGCTGGGTCTCACAGTGACACCAATGTTGGCAGGTTCTTTGCCAGCCATGAGACTGTAGAGAAGCTGTACTGCCTCTTCCTGGCTCTTCCCTTTAAAACGTTTTGTAGCCAACTCGGCCATGGCTTGAGTGAACTGCTCAAACGTGATGACACGTGCTGATTTAACCCTAAGACACATAAGCAGATACAGAACAGCACAAAGTTAGGCCCAGTCATGCATACGTCCATTGCACAGGATTAAAAATAAAACAGTTTGCTGTCGGTCATAGTGCGAATAATCATACTTGACTTTGCTGAAGACGATGTCCACATCCGTGCTGGTGACACTTTTCCCATCGATGACCTTGCAGTCCTTACACAGCTTAACAAAGTTTTTCCCATTCATCTCATTCCCTGTTCCTTTGGTGTCTCCATGAACTGCAAATTTACGAAATGCTGTCTCAACCTCTCCCAGCGAAACCTCACCTGAACCCTCAGCCATGCTGTCAGATCTAAAATGAGAGAAAGACAGAATTTTAAAGAAGAAAAAAAGAGACAAAAATATGTTTTGAGGTTTTGCTTTTTTATAATGTTTTATTGCAACATTATATGGATATTTCCAGTCCTAGCTTTTGATTGGTTTATTTTAGTGTTATTTATATAGCTTACTATTATAGTTACTTTTACTCTATTATAGTTACGTATAGTTCTATATTATATATATATATATTTATTAATATCTTTAATTGGCTTTTTAAAGTTTTTTAGGTTTAAGGTTTTCATCTATTTATATTTAAATTTTATTTGAGCTTAATTTAAATTATCAAAAAAGATATGAATAATTTGAGTTTTAGTTAACAATAACAATGGCTTAAATACAGTGTTTCAGCCGTGCTGAAATTTTTGATATGTAACATCTGTAAACAACTGTTCATCATATCACTGTTATAGCAGTGTCTATGGCAGCATTCTGTGATGTGAGAGATTAGAAATTCTAGCGGAAAGATGCAACAAAAAATCATTTGTTTGGCATCTTAATGAAAATGTGTGTACTTTTGTGTTTTTTTTATAGTTACTGTTTTCCTCAAGGCTGTGTTACTTAATATAATTAATGTTAATATAATAATAATAAATAGCATGAACTCTCCTAACAATGAATGTCTCGATGTCTGTTATGTACAGTGAAAGCTGCTATCCTGGTGCTGTAATGTTTCTGTACTGGTTACACCCAGAGTTACTGTCCCACACTGTTCCATGATCCATGCTCACAAATCATTCTCATTTACTCCACACGCGCGCACACACTCACATAGAGAGAGACGTTGGGTATGCATGTTTAATGGGCACATTTCATAGACATAATACTTTTTACGCTGTACAAACTGCATATCATGTCCCCTAACCCTAAACCTACCCATCACATACAACTTTCTGCATTTTTACATTTTCAAAAAAACACGTAGTTTGATTAATAACCTGTTTTCCTAATGGGGACCAAAAAAATATCCCATGGGAACATATTCTCCCCATAATGGTATACCTGAACCACACACACACATACTTGGTTTCTCTTTGTGGGGACTCTCCATAGCCGTAATGGTTTTTATACTGTATAAACTGTATATTCTATCCCCTCACTTAACCCTAACCCTAACCCTACCCATCACCGAAAACTTTCTACATTTTTACTTTTTAAACAAACAAAAAAACATCAGTATGTTCATTACTCCATTTCCCTTGAGGGGACCGCTGGCGGGTCCCCACAATGTAGGCGATTTCAGGTTTCACTATCCTTGTGGGGACATTTGGTGTAATATAATATAAACGCGCACACACTCAGACACATTTATATAACTCGCACTAAAAGCCGTAATTTAATGAAGTCCACTTTAGAGGTCTTCACGGGTCACTTGGATCCGAAAACACGAGGTCCGACCCGAGACCCGAGCGGGCTCGGGTCCAAAACTCCGACGAGTGTCTCGGACACGGGTCGGGTTCGGTATTAATGGCCTCGGGTCTCGGGTAATTTAAAATAAATATGCCTTTTCCAAATGGACCCGAGAAGACCCGAATCCTTTTAAACTATGTTGGGCATTTAAGAAAATTGCAGTATTTAAAACAACTCTATGACACTGACACCGTTCTCTCACTTTTTCTAAGTGAGAGAGCGAATCCGCGCTTCTACGTGCAAATGGGCTATAAGCAGAAGCACGGCTGCATCCGCATTTATTTACTCAGTTGCTCGCTCCACATAAACCAATCCCTCCCTTTGCCAAGAAGAACTAGTGCGCCATCATGTGGATGGATGTTTGACTAAATGCAAGTATTTGAATTGTCGTTAAGCCAGGCCTGTCAATCAATTTTAAAAATACGCGACACTGTCAGAAAAGCATGAAGGCGATAACAGAAATTGCGAAAAATGTCAGGGAAAACGAATGGTGGTTCCAATCATCGTATGGTCCGGTAAATAACATTATGCCAAATTTTATAGGACGTAATGGGTTACAGTGATGTGTGATTGACATTTTAGCACTTCAGCACGCTTACACTTGCGCGTCTATGTTAAGTGCATTTTTTTAGAAACGCAGGGCTGCAGGCTGTGCACAATGTAAATGCCGTTTACGTTCGGGTCCAGTCGGGTTCTAAAGGAAATGGCGTCGGGTCGGACTCGGGTCTAATTTTATCGGGTCTGTCTCGGGTCGGGTTTTTCTTTAAAAAAAATAATTTATGCACGTCGGGTTCGGGTAAGTAGTGATTCGGGTCGATTCGGGTCGGGTACAGTTTTTAGGACCCGAGAAGACCTCTAGTCCACTTTACTAAATTAGCTTCAGCTGTCTTTGCTGGCTTCCCCTCTCTCTGTCTCTCTCTCTTTCTTTCTAATATTGGGTAGGCCTATTTGTAATTCGTGAAAGCATCATATAATCCGTAAAAGCATAATAAATTACTACTGCATTTACCTTTTATAGATGGAATAATAAAGTGAAAGTACATTAAATCTATAAAAGAAAAATGCATGAAACTCTTGCATTGAGAAATTAAAAGGTTCTGGTAAACAAGTAGCCTAATGCTGCCTATATTCCTTTTATTCTTTATGTGCGAAATACATATTCAAATGTAGGCTACTCTAAAAATATGTGAAATATATTATGTAGCTAGGCCTACTATAAAAACAAGCTAAATGCGTCTCATGCATAAATCCCTCCTGGTCCTGTTTGACCTTGTAGGTATGACATAAATACTTCCAGATGGGTGTGTGTTATTGAGAATGAAAGAGCAGGAGAGATTCAAGCCTACCTGACAGTGAGGTGGACAATCTTGGATACTGATGCTAAGCTGCTACTGAAAGGATGCTGAAAGGACGGTTTCTCGTCTTCCTCTTTGCCCGTGCTAAGTGTGTGTGTGTGTGTGTGTGTACAATGACGTAAGAGAGAGGGGAGGAGAGAGCACAGCCCAGCACAAATGATGACTTCACTCGCTCGTCTCTCTCTCTCTCTCTCTCTCTCTCTCTCTCTCTCTCTCTCTCTCTCTCTCTCTCTCTCTCTCTCTCTCTCTCTCTCTCT